AGTTTTCTGTACTCCTGGCAAGTCCCTGTGGAGGAACTTTGTTCCTTCTAGGAGTTTGTGAGACACTGAGTAGGCAGTGGCAACCAGCATTACAGATCAGATTTCAGCCCCCATGTCCCAGAGTGGCAGAATTTAGCCTAAGTGATGTAAAGACTTTAAAAGAACAGTAGATTATGATGACTGACAATTAAGTACTCTTTCTTAAAGCCTTTTAAGAAAAAAAAGATTGCCACAAAAATTTCTCATTATCCTTTTGTTTCTTACTGTCATAATAGCTCTCTGTAGGCTTGTGTAGGCTTTGCACTAGTGCATAAAAAAAGACAACAGGATCTTGGAAAAAGAAACTGCAGAAATTTTCCTGGAAAAAGGATTCAGGGGTCATAGTTTGCTATAGCCTAGCAGAATTTCCATGAAAATTTACCAGCTCAGTCAAGAAATTACTTCTCCACTCTGCTGCTGATCAAATCATGGATGTTTTTAAAGACCCTGTTGACTTATATTACATTTTGGTGTTTTTTGTAGTTTAGCTCACTATAGTTTCAAGTAATGTGCTAGAATTATTAAAGCTGAATTACTTTCTTCTCTTAAAGTTTGTCTTATTCCTCCCTCCCCAAATACTTGCTAATTTAGATGTGATCGATGTTTTTAATTATTGTAATTGATGAAAAGTCCTAAGTGAAACAAATTCTTGTCTATATTACCTGTTTCTTAGGGCTTGCCTGAGGGTAGTTACGTATGTTTAAGATGTTCACAGAACTGAGATATTTGTCTTCATTTTACCCTTAGATAGGGGAGAGGTTTTATTTATTTTTCCACAGAACAGCAGAGGAAGATTCAGATCCCTATCCCCCATTGCATTTGGGAGTTAGAGTGGTTCTCCTGTCCCTGAAGAATTCAGCATATACTCAGAGAGGTGTTGGTTGTTCTATACTGCCTGTAAAATTTCAGCAACCAAAAAAACCCCAGCCAATTTGGGAAGTTTGCACTAATCTGTTCAGTGAGTGTGGCTATTAGGATATTGTACCCCTTGTCCTGAAATGGTGGGAGGTTTTCAGAAAAGCCTGGTGATCCCTGGAGATTCATTCTTGGGGACAGTGAGGTCTACGTCAAAACCCCTTAAAATGGATGAAACACCTCTGGGTGAGTTTAGTGGATTGTCATCAGGCAAGTCTTACTGGTGTATTTGTGTAGGATCATCATGGCTGTGCTTCTGCATACTAGTAACAGACAAAGTTGTGCCCTTCTTATGAGGAAAGGTCTGGAGAAAGCTGTGCTCACAGAAACCAGTGGTGCTCAGCTGCTGCTGCTCTTTGGTCTTTCTTAATGGATAGACACGATGGCAGCAGCCACTTTTATCCAGGATTGAATAGGTTGTCTGGCCAACATCTTGTCGGTATATGCCAGTGCTAACACAGAGCCAGTCTACCACATCTGCTGCATTGGATGTATGCTTCTCTAAAGAGCTGTGCTTCAAATTCAGAAAAGTGGTTCAAAAGAATAATCCAGAAAACAGATCAATGTCAGATACCACAGTCAGTTCTCCCATTCTCTTCCCTGAATTTTTGTCCATTTGCTATCAGGGACGTACTTCCCTATGACACTCTATCACATGGACTGACCTGCTGGCAGAAAACTAGCTTTTCCCCTCTTTAGCATACCACACCTTTTTTTGCTTAGGGAGGTTTATATAGTGTGTCAGTTACAGTTCACATTGAGTAACTTATATGCTGAGTCTAGGAATGTTAATACTTTCCAGGTTTGCCTCTTGATCCTTTTGGAATGCTTTCAAGCTTTTTGAGAGGCATATAGAACAGCATCCGTGATGTCAAGAGCATCTGATTCAGGCAATCCTGAATGCAAATACAATACAGAGATATCTGAATTTTCATAGAATATACATGAATAGCATACACTGGCTGTGAATCTAGAAGAAATGATGTCTTAGAGAAACTCAGCAGAGCAAAAGGTCAAGGAAGACTGAGCTGGAATCTAGAAGAAACGGACTGGGGGAGATAAGGACTGCAAATACAGATGGACAGTGGTAGAAGTTCTGTGCTGTTGCAGCACAAAGCAGTGATTTGCAAAGCGGGTAATACCATTGCTAACAAAGCGAAAGAGACCTTACTTTAGAAATAGAAGTGAGAAAACTTCCTCCTACACCAGGCACACCAAGTTTTCATCCTCCCACTCACACCACTGCTCCAACAGCATGCAGCTCTGCTTGCATCCTGATGATTTGTATCCTGGGTTGAGTGAGTTGGGAGACTGGAAGTTGTGGTGGAGGAAAGTGCAGCTGTTGAACCCCTGCCAATGGCAGCACACCCCACAGGATGGGTCTGAAAGCAATCTTTGCCTCCTAGCTTAAGTCTTATGCTTTCCCTATCTTAGGGGAAGGGTGGGGGAAAGGTTTGTGAAGACATTATTTAAAATAAAACAGTAAATAAAAATTGTCAGTGTCTGCTTATTGGATGAGTAACTTAAACATACTTAAACATCCAGGGCAGCTGTAATCTAAGCAGCCAAAGTCCGCTTGAACCGGGGCTGAATTTGGCCCATTGTCTCTCCTTCACACCCACAGTGCAAATAAAAGCTGCTGCTTCTTAGAGTTAGGTGGGAGGAAGAAGGTGGGAAAGCCACTGGAGTGTGGTGTTGCACTGACAATTAATATGCATTCCTTGGAAACCTATGCTTCTCATTACGGCTGAATATAGCAGTATGACAAGTCATTGGGAGAGAGGATGCAGTTTGTTATGAGTGGAACATTCTGATGAGTATTGTATCTCTGTGGGAGAGTTGTGGAGCAATGCTAACTTCATATTAAGGGATCAGGAAAAAGCAGTGTTATCCTGAAAATTGGTCTGGAATCTTCGAAAACTACATCTTTTGGCAAGAGTTACATTCAGAGGGGTCATTTAACTTCAGAATGATGTTTGCTCTCGGCTATTCTTTAAATAACTCAGTGCTGTGTCCTTCTGAAATAGAAACAGTAGACTGAGGGGCTTCTGCTATTAGTGAAATCTGGCAAATAAACTATAAAAAAGTAATTTATATTTGCTACTTGAATAACAATGTTTACATTGCACTCTTTTCCCGAAAGAGGCCATGGACATGTTTAAGTGGTGTACAAGAGTCTTTCATCTTCACTAAACAGCAGCAGGCTCTGCCGTAGAGGCAAGTTGCTGTTTAGCATTGCAAGGCTGCAGTTTGGAACAGCTTGAGGCAAATAATATAAAATATGAAATCCAGATAATATAGACTATGAAAGGGTCATTTAAACCTGCAGAAGTTATTTATTAATTGTTATTTATGAGTTTAGCTAGAGCTAGTAACACCTGCAGAGTTGTAGTAAGTGGAAGTGAGTCCTCATAATTCTCAAACATCCAGGATTTTCTCTGGATGCTTCTTCTCACAGGCATAGTATGTTTTCAGAAGTATTATTGCTGCATGGGGCACATATCTGACTAAGATATATCTGACTTCATTTCAGCTTGAACTCTGTTCAAAGCCAAAGTAAGTTAAATAGAGAGAAGGAAACTGTTTAATTTGAAACATGCTTAAAACTTTCTTGTGAAGACAAATCCTTAAAAGAAGGATCATTTGGGCCTCTAAGTTCATGTATTCTCTAAGGTAGCTGCACGGTTTGCCCTCACACAGTGACCAGTGTTGCTACAGGATACCTTATAAGAAATACAGTGTAGGTGAACAAGTTTGGGGAAAGGTGGGCAGGTCAGAGTGTGATCTGGAAAGCAACATCTTGCCTGTGTATGATTTCCTGCAGTTTCACTTTTTCTATTTTTCACTTCTACAGAGGTATAGTCTAGAAGACAATAAAAATTAGGTATCCTGAGCACCTAAATTGTCAGATCAATATCCATGCTAGAGAAGACATGGTTGTTTTGAATGTGGATTTTCCAGGTGATGAGCAATCACCTAAACTTGTTTTCAGTGACATCAATGCCTCCCATTGACTTTGGTGAATCCTGGTTAGGCCATTGATAAGCACTTCTGTAAACACAGCCTAATCCTCAGCTGTACCTGATCTTAACAAAAACTCCTCAGCACTAAATTGTCATGCATGAGTATCATGCAGCTCCATTTTTCTTCAGCAGGGTTTCATGTTTTAGTGACAGAAGAAACGAGCCTGCTCTCCTTGTTTGGAAGACACTTTGAGATCCCTCAGAATGTAACATGAACGCTGGTGGGCTGTGGTTCTCTCCCACCCGGATTTCAGTTCCAGAGCATGAGACTTTTTCACTTTCTACATTTTTTTTTCCTTCTGCCTTTGTGACAGAGCTCTCAGCTGCTCTTTGTGAGCAGCTGTTCTGTTTCCCTGTCTGCCTTCAGTGGTACCCAGACAGCTGCACTGTGTGGCAGCCAAAGGTTGCCAGAGCAATGCCCAGCTTTGTTAAAAAGTAACAGGATTGGGAAAAAGGGAAGTGAGCGGGAATATCCGTGTGGAGGAGTAGATTATATAGCGCACTGTGAATGGGTGCTGGGGGACCTGGGGCTCCATGTCCAACTGGAGATGCATTTTCTGTGCATCTGTCACTAAGACTTACCTGCTGACTTGGAGAAAGCCATTAATCATGAGGTGATGCTGGTAGTGGCAAGCAGCTTATGTGCATGTCTCATGGAAACTTCAATGTGTGTATGTGTGCATGTGTGTGTGCTCATTCAGCATCTGCTGTCCACATACTGTGACTTGGACACGTGGAGGGTGAGGTGTGGCTGAGATCAGGCCTGTGACGTGCAGTATGACTTTCTTTTAATTTCTTACAGGCAGCTCTCTTGTGGTAGGGTGTTATCTTTATTTGTCCATTCTTGGGTTTGTGTGCATGTCTTTCTAACAATGATCATAGTGTTTGCTTTGTGGTTCCACCTTTGAGCACTTAGAAATTAGCAGGGAACAATTCAATGTGCATGAAGCTATGTGGTACATTTATGGCATGGTAGGATTTCAGCTTTTGCCCAACTTAATATTTCTTTTCTTTGTTTTCTAGAAAAAGGCATGGCACACAATTAAAACCATGGTAAACTTACCAGTTATCAGCCCCTTCAAGAAACGCTACTCATGGGTGCAGCTGGCTGGGCATACAGGTGAGATGGGTTTGTCTCTGGAGTGAGAATGACAGCAGCAAGGAAAACAATGTTTCTCTTGTTTCCTTCCTTCAGGTAAAAAGGAAGCAGGCAATATCACATAAATCTATGAACTAATACGTCATTCAGTTGTGGTGGGGATAGGGAAGAGGGACCAATATACCTGAATCATGAGATGAGCAAGGAAGCAATGGTCAGCCTCTGGGGAAGGGCCAGGCTCCCAATCCCTCCTTGGAAGGTGATATGTGTCAAATATGTGTTAGAGGGAAAACAAGGGGGACTGGGGAGTTAAAGCTGTAATCCATGTGTTGCTGTTGATTGTGGTATGAGTTCATTTTTCTTCACTGACTAGCTAATAGTTCTCTCATGGGAAGGATTACTGTTCATACCTGCCTGTGCTTCAGCCCTGGCAAGGACAGTGTTTCTTCCAACCCCAAACCCATCATCTGAATGTAAAGCCCTTGGGTGGAAAACAAATGTGGTGGAAATTGACTTGCTGAGCAGGTGTTTGCATTGTGAGTCTATCATTGTTCACTCTACGAGTTCAAGGAGCAGCTCAGTCAGCTGTTTCTAGTTTTGTGTCTGTAAAAGCTGGTAAGTGTGCTCCTGATGTAGGCTTTGATTCAGGGGTAAGGCAAAAAAACCAACAAGGGGAAGTCATCAGGTTTGCACCTCTCATGCTTCATTTAATTCCTATGCAGTGCTAGTGGGGGGTTTATTAGTACATATGTGGGCAGGCGCCTACGCTGCATCGTGCTTTAATGCAGTACCTAAACCACCTCTTTATATGCTAATGCACTCATACGGTGCACTTCAAGGCTGAGCTGAGAAATTTATTTAGCCCTAGAAATAGAGTAGCTGTATTTTGCAGAGTGTTGCTGGTGGGGCTGACTTGTATCACACAGAGTGCCAAGATGACCCAGTCTTAATGCAGTTTTTATCACAGAGTGTTTGAGGTTGGCTTGATCTGTGGAGTGATGTAATCATAAGCCTTCTGGAGACTTGTGTAGTAGTGTGGAAGAGGAGGTTTAAGAGTTTACTAGAAGCTGATTAGGAGAGATACTGTTGCAATTTCCTTTTAATAGTTTTCTGTGGTTGTGCTTATTCCATTCTTTTTGCAGCTGTTCTACTCTGATATGACAGTTTGTTTCTGAACTAAAACCTGGGCCGTCCCCACCGTTATGCTTGTGCCGAGGCAGTGCCAGTTCTAGGATTTGTCAGAAAAGAACCAGTTTGCAATGGCTGAAGGATCCTGCTGTGATAAAAGTTGAGCGTTATCCTGAGGATTAATGAGGCTCCTACATTGATGCCGAATTTATTTTGTGTAGATTAATGGGTACCTCTGAATGAAACATGTACTTTCCTCAGATGTTATTGGCACGTTACAGGACAGGAGACTGTTTGAACTGGAAACTCCAGACAGCTGGAGTCTGATTACTGCTAATCATGTCCTGTGCAGACTGTCATTTGTACTGGATACCATTCAGACACAGGGCTGTAAAAAAGCCAATTGCACTACAGGCTGTACCTGGAGATTAGCAGGGTTCCAGAGAAGAGGCAGGACCTGCAGGTAAACGCATGCGCAGTCGCAGTATGTGTGTGTAGACAGGGCAGTGCTTGGCTTCTGGCCTGTTCCTGGCTGTTTAACTATCACTGATTGACCGTGCTGTCTCCGGACGTACGTGCTGAGCAGGTATGTATACCCAGTGTGAGGATTAAGGACAAAGCCAACACTGGCAGTGTTATGCAGCTTTAAAATAGCCTGTCAGAGGATTAATGAATTCTGGCTCGTGGCTTTTTCTTGTGCGTTTTAGTAAGTATAGTAGTGTTTAATAACCTAACAAAGACTTTAGCATGGAATAAACCCCACAACCCAATGCCCTGGAGCAGCTGCACTCCTCAAAGCTATAAATTCTAATATGGGAATGTATCCAAATGGACTTTCACTGCCAACAGCTGTTTGTCCTGTGTGTTTTATTTTTTATGAAAAGCATGTTATCTCTTCTGTTCAGGGGAAATCTTTAACTGGTGCTGTGAGGCTGAGGTAGATGAAGCTGGAGTGATGGGGGAAGGGTTTTATCTCTTTTGCATGTCAGTCATGTCAGCATGTGTTTGATTTTCTTTTTTTAGGGAGTTTCAAGGCAGCTGATAGTGGGAAGATTCTCAAACGCTTCTCAGAGAATGAAAAGGAGTGTTTTGAACGATTGATGAAAGACCCATTACGCTCCTGTGTCCCTTGCTTCCATGGTGTGGTGGAGAGAGATGGCGAGAGTTACATTCAGCTGGATGACTTGCTTACTGATTTTGAAGGGCCTAGTGTGATGGACTGCAAGATGGGGATCAGGTGGGATAAATGAAAGAGAAAGTGCTTTCTAACCCATATGCATTTGAAGGATGGGGGGGCATGTTGTCATGCTCTGTCTGGAGGAGTTTGGTAACATTTTTCATAGAAACATAGAATCATTGGGGTTGGAAGAGACCTCTAAGATCATCAAGTCCTACTGTTAACCTGATGCTTTGCTGTAACTCCTAAACTGTATCTTCCAGTGCCAGATCCAGATGCTTCTTAAATGTTTCTAGAGTTGGCGACTCTACCACCTCCCTGGGCAACCTATTCCAATGCCTGACCACCCTAACAGTGAAAAAATTTTTCCTTATTTCTAATCTGAATCTCCCCCGTCTCAGCTTATGGCAATTTTTTGGAGCCTTGGGATTCAGTATGGACAGCCTGTTGTTGTGGCCTTGGATGACTTGAGGCCAGTATGTCCCATTATTGCCTGATTTTACGTGGATTCTGGAAACTAACTGATCTATACCCTCAAAAAATGTCCACATCAAGAAATTTTCAAGTTTCTCTGCAGTAGCCTGATAATATATGGGAAAAAATTACATGATTTATTCACTGCCAGTTCACTGAGTCTTTGTATATGCAGTGATTCAGAAAGCCCCACAAAGAGTAAGATTCTCATCTCCAAATGTGAATGAATGAATAGCAGTGTGACAGCCTATTTCCAATGCTTGAATGAGTCTTTGCTGGTATTGATCTTTTCTGTAAAGATTTGACCATCTGCTCAGGACTGACCTCTGGTTTTCCCTACTCTGATTTCCAGAGATGTTGCTATCACCTTGTTCTCCAGATTCTCACCTTTTTTTCCATTTGTTGCCTGTGATTAAGAGGAAAACCTCGAAAATATTATCTAAGCATAACAAATGGTTAGGGAACTGTTAAGAGCCTGGAGTAACAGTACAGAGGTATGAACTGTCATAATAATCTTTTGGGTGCCAGCTCAGATGCTCAAGTTCCTGTCATAAAGGAGTTGCTTTAGTTATAGGAGTGCAGATACGCCATTTCAGATAGATGCAAAATTTTAAATGAGTTGTCAGCTAAATCAGAGGAGAAATATGTAGCACTGGTCTGCTCAGAGAAAGAGGAGGATTTGCAGCAGTACATATTTTATTCAAAGTAAGTGACGTGATGGCAATGAGTGACAGCATCTCATAAATGCCATCCTGATTTGTTACACTGTGATGAAGAAAGCAAACTCCAGGTGCCTGACAAAGTGCAAGCTTTAGGAATCCAGTGGAATGCAGAGAACATAGATAGTGCCTTTCTAATGGTTACAGGATTAACAGATTGAGCTTTAAGAGCAAAATGTGGAAGGGTTGTGACCCTTTGCCTTTCTGTTCTTAGTTACCTCTTCTGGTTTGGAACTGGTCAGATAATCTGCTTTACTCTGTAATTTTCACTGTATGTAAAGTGATTCTGTCTTTCATCGTGATGCATTAAGTAAAACTTAAACTTTCTGAGGCCTAAAAAAATCACCCATGACTGATGTTAGATTTAGAGAATGTTAGAAAGAATGTTGGATGTTAGAGAGAATACAGTAAGTCTTCAGCAGCCCTATTTGGTTTTTATTTGACTGCAAGTGATCTCTCCTAACCGTCCTCTGAAAATACAGTTCTATTTAATGGCACAGTAGGAATTCAGCTTCCTCCTATTCTGTAACCAGGATGTAACAATAACTTGTAACAGAAAGTAAAGGTATAGTTAGTACACAAGAAGTGAATGAAAATTCATGATTCCTGCAGCTGTTTCCCTAAATGTGCCTATGCAGTCATTACTTGGTGTTCTTTAGCTTCTCCATATACAAAACTGGGGCAACGGTAGCACTTACTTTCCTGGTTTATATTTCTTGAGGCCAGTTTTTAAGTTGTAAAAACAAGTGTTTGGAGAGTCCTTACAGTTTTGTTGGGATGCAATGTTTTTGCAGAACATACCTGGAGGAGGAGTTGACTAAGGCACGAGAGAAACCAAAGCTGCGTAAGGACATGTACAAGAAAATGATTGAAGTGGATCCTCTTGCTCCCACAGCTGAAGAGAATGCCCAGCATGCTGTAACCAAACCCCGATATATGCAGTGGAGGGAAACCATCAGCTCTAGTGCCAACCTGGGCTTCAGGATTGAGGGAATTAAGGTAATAATTTCACTTCTGCCTGCTCCTGGAGACCAAACTTCATTTGATCTGTAAATTAATCAAAAAGCTAACGCACATCGGTTTCCAGATTTTCCAGAGATTTATGTGAAAATGCACTAACTGAAACCACAGAGTTCAGTGTATTGCAGTTTTAAAGCATCCATTATAATTATAACAGAGTAGTGTCAATGAATTTAAGCATCAAATACACATCAGCCACACTTGGATCAAGCACAGAGACCTTGCAGGAAGGACTCAAGGAAGTGCACAGTGTAGATAGAATGAAAATGAGACTGTTATAAGGAGGAATTCAGAACTGAAGAATTAACTGCCTCTGCCCAAACAATTACTTTTTTTATCCTGGAACTATACATATTTATTACAAGTGAATCACAGTAAAGTGTTTGTGTTCCAGTTACGTTTATTTGCAGCGCGTGTTAAGAGCTTTTGCTTAGACACTCTTGGGATCGAGGAAACGGCTTTTTCTTTTAAGTACATGACAGTATCCAGTAGAGATGGAGCTGGAATCAAGCCAAAACAAAACAAAAAAAATTCCTCCATCAGCAAAGTTCTTCTGCTGTTCTTGATGGATACGTTTGTGTCCCTGTACCATTCCTAGGATATTACCTTACAGCCACAGAAGAACATTAGCAATTTTCTTTTTTACCCATGAATTCTTTATATTTCATAGAATTATAGAATGGCCTGGGTTTACAGGGACCTTAAAGATCATCTAGTTCCAGCCTCCTTGCTGTGGGAAGACACACCTCTCACTAGAAAAGGTTGCTCAGAGCTCCATCCATCCTGACCGTAAACACTTTCAGCGATGGGGCTTCCGCACGTTCTCTGGGCAACCTGTTCCAGTGCCTCACGGTAAAGAATTTTTTTCTAATATCTAATCTAAACCTACTTTCATTTAGTTTGAGTCCAGTCCCCCTTGTTCTGTCACTACATAACCTCGCAAATAGTCCCTCTCCATCTTTCTTCTAGCCTACCTTCAGGTACTGGAAGGCTGCAATTAGGTCACCCCAACGCCTTCTCTTTTCCAGGCTGAATAATTCCAATTCTCTCAGCCTTTCCTTATAGGAGAGGTGCTCCATCCCTCCAGTCATCTTGGTGGCCCCTCTCTGGATTTGCTCTAACAGGTCAATGTCCTTCCTGTGCCAAGTACCCCAGAGCAGGGCATCTTTAAATACTCCTTTCTTCTCTGTTTCCCTGTGTTGTCATCTCCCTTCCTTATTCACAGATTCTCCTGCTGTGATACAGGAACTGGGGCTTCCAGCTCATGCTGTGCTGGCCCCCTGTACACTGTGCCACCCACTCCAGGCTGTTAGGCGCAGGCATCCTCGTGCAGGAACTGTCTGGGTGGTAGATGATCTAGCTTCAGTCCAGCCAAGACAGAGGATCCTGTCTTGCCCTTTAGCCAGCTAATGATATTAACAAGATACCTGTTTTATTCTCATACAGCTTAGGTCTTTGTATGTTCTGTGTAATGGAATCAGATACCCAGACGATCTTGAGACCTTTCATGTGTCTTCTTAGAAAGACAGTTGGGCAGTGTAGATGTGCAGGTTTATGCAGAGTCCTGGAGAGTGACTGAGCTAAGAGAGCACAGGGGAGCTTCAGAAAAATCTCCTGGCTTGTTCTTTGTGACTTTGTTAGTTCTCAGAGTGGGTAGGAGCATTATGGCACACAGCCTGCGTAATATTTCCCTCTGTAGAAACAGTGCTGTAGCTGTGCAAAGCAGGGCATGAATACTTAGTCCTTGATTGGCACAGGAAATGCTTTGGAGTACGTCAGTACATTACCTTTCCCTCTGTGTCCCTGTGCTGTTATGAGGAATGTGGGTATCATTCTCTTATTTTTTTACATGGAGAAATGGTGGCAGAAAGTGAGTTGTTCAAGCAATACAGCTAGTCGGTATTCCAGACACTGTTTCACTGCAGCCAAACTGTACATCCAGTTCTGTATCTTTGCAGAAAAGCAAAGCTGTGCTGAGGGATTCCCATTTTGGGAGGGTAGCCTATAAGAATCAGTGGTGCCAGCTAGAGGTTGATGGCAAAAGGGGGATATTCTTCCTGAGCACACTGATAACGCCTGGAGTTAGCTGAGATGATGTGTTGGGTTTGGTCATTCAGAAATATTTCTGCCCTGTGACTGCTTGAGTAAGAAGCGGAAGCAAAGAAAATGAAATCATATAAGCCCTTCTGTGAAGTGGCTGCTAATAAATGAGATTTGATTCACCATATGCACTCCTTCATTCTCTTTAGGCTGATCCATCTCTTTTCCTTGCCTTGTGTCCAGATCTCTGAATTCAAATCAGGTTCATTTATGGGATTTGTCACTCCTCCTCCTATCAAAAATAGTTCAAACCATTTGGTTTCCTTACAGCTGGAACCTGACGCTCAGTATCTCATGCCTGCCCAATTCTTAATGCACATTTCCTCTCTGGTAGGGGCTGTGTGAAGGCTAAGCATCACAAATATTTTCTCTGCAATACAAAGCTGATGGTTTTCTAGAGCAGAGATGCATGGGTCTTGAGAATTGGGATTTCTGACTTCCCATTCTGTCACTGAACCTGTGTGCAGTTTGGAAAGTTACTTCTTCCTTTGGTACCATTCCTTTAGCTGTAGGTCAGTGGCAGCCACAATCCTAGAAGGATATCAGATTTGATTTATAAATCTTTGTGAACCCAATAAATTAACCCAGACCCCTTTAAGGGAAGTCTGCAGGGAAGTTGGAGCAAGACCACATGGGTTAAGATAGGCGGTACTATTTTATGGAGCTGTGAAACCTGCCCTCCTGCTAGCCATGTCACTGTCACATCTAATAAGTAGTGTTTCAAGGGGCTCGAGAGCTGCACTGTGTGGCAGACTGCCCTGCTATGCAGGAATGTATGTGGAGTCCTTGACAAACATGGGACTTTGAGGACCAAATCAGGCAAGTGCCTCATGGGAATCAGGTGCGTCAAATCCCTGGTTTAGAATACTAGGGATGATACCATTCAAAATCTGGATGTTGTTTACAGCAAGTAGACAGGCAGCAGTTATGTTACCTGCTGATCCCTGGAAAGGAGCAAAAGCATAAAAGTGTTTATAAAGCACAGGAAAGAAAGCAACGAGTCTGTCTAGACAAAAGAGAATGAAAAGGGAACACAGAGCAGCTATTTCAGACTTACTCCAATGAAGAGGTAGGAGCCATCAAATGAAGTTCCAAATTTCCATGTGCTGTTGAGTATTGGATGGATCCTAATCAGATCAGGTGGATCCTAACTTTCACTCCATGTTTGCTGAACTTCTCTCACATAAGTTGCCCATCTTATCAGGTTGACATGCCACACTGGTATGTGGCCCACAGCCTTGGAATAAAATTCTGTTAATCCTGTTGCTAGAAAGTCTGGTAGGTGAGAGGCAGTTCTGCATGGCTCTGCCATTCAGTCAGTTCATTCTCTTGCATGATAGATATGGATATTTAGCATTATTGGATTTTTTTCATGTATACCTTCAGCTGTAGAAAATAGTGTTTCACCTGCTGAGGCTGGGGAGCTGAATTTATCCAGTTTTGGTGCAGTGACTTAACATGTTGGAGAGAACACATTTTGATGACCTGATGATTTATAAAGAAAATGAAGGATTTCTTTGGACCGATACAATGGAAAGGAAAATGGTTTGACAATCCTGCGGGTTTTTAGTGCATACAGACTACCTATTGTAATAATTGCTGTATTTTACACACATGTCCTACAGTCTCCTATTTGTGTCACTCGGAGCAACAGGGATGCTCTTGGAGCCATACATATTCATGTTGTCTATGTTGACAGATACCTCTAATTCATGCACTGCTGGTATTTACTTGTAGCTCCAGAAGCACAAACTGGTTACTACCAGCACATAAAAAGACTTGTTTTTTTCAGTAGCAGGATGCTTCTGTACTAAGCCTTACTGCTAGCACAAAAATACTCTGAATTTCTCCAGGACCCACATGGATATGAACATGTCTACAACTGTCCTTTGCCAAAATTCACTCACCTGCTTTGTCTCTGCTAGCATTGCAAATCCCAAGTTGTTCCTGTCTGCAATTAGATTTCCATTCTATGATTTCTGGGTCACATTGATGTTCAAAGGTATATTGGGAACTGAGTCCTAACCACAATTCTTTGATTTCACCCATTAAAAAACCAAAAACAATCAAAAAAGCCACAAAACTACAACAAAAACCTGTCACCAAAACCCCTCAAAAAAGCCCAAACCAAAAAAAGACAGGTAAAATTGGATTTGGAAATGTTTCCTTACACCCTCAGCCAGGATTTCACTACAGCTAGCTAGAACCAAAGAGGTCACTGTGGTTTGCCCCATTGAACTTTGCACTGCTAGCACTGACATGAGAAAACCCTCCTGCAAGCTGGTAGTACCATAAGATGTTTTTTTTACACTTGTACTCAACAGAAAATGAAATGCCAGTGCCATTTAAAATTGTCCAATCAGCTTTTGTATCTTTTTCTCCCCTACTTCGTGCTTGGTTTATCTCTCCTCTTCCTGTTCAACTACTTTCATCTGGTTAGCAAGAGCTGAGCTGTTGATGGTTCAAGAGGATTGACTGATGAGGGGAATGATATGCATGTAGTATAAGTCATCTCTGTCTTTGTGTGGTTTTGTGCAGAAGGCAGATGGAACATGTAACACAAACTTCAAAACTACGAAGACACAGGAGCAAGTTCTACAGGTTTTTGTGGAATTCATTGAGGGCAACACAACTATTCTGGTGAGTCTGAACTCTTCAGGTTCACTGACCCTGGGCCCAATGAACTTGCTTCAGGGCCATGCTTTCTTTGGTGCATGAAATATGAATTACATTACTAAGAAGGTAAATAGTTGCAACTTCCAGTCGCTCTCAGGAGATGGAGTGGGCATGGGGACTTGGTGGGCTGTGAGAAGTAGTTGACTGAGACCAGTTCTTTCAGTTCTTACCATGAGTTCACCCCAAATACCTCATGCTAGCAAAAATGTCGTTCAGACTAACTTATGGCTTGCCGTCAGCTTTGACCATGAGTGTTAGATGAATCAGAAGGAGGATGATATCTAAGCAAGGATTGTGTTGGCAGGAAAACTTGTGATTTGAGAATTCAGTCTGGAGAGGATAAAACCAGAGCATGGAGGCAGGAAATGAGATTGGTGACTGGCTGTGTTCCCATGTGTGAAACTCGTCTCAAAGAGCAATTCCTGTATGCTACTTCATGGGTAGCACTGCAGGAATGTGGTAGATGGCATAAAACATCTTTTGTCTTTGGAACTTCAAAGGATGCCACAGTGTTTTGCTGCAGTCTGGAAGCCATTATGAAGGCAGATTAGCCCTCAGGAGGAGCATGCTTGGTAACACAGGGCAGCATTAAAAATGTGCACTAGAGCTTTATACATTAGGCCTTGATTCTTTTTATGCCCCGCCACTGCCCCCACCATGATTGGAGCTCCTTGTCTCTCTAATGTAATTTCATTCTCTTTTCACTGTGGAGAGCTGGAAGATTGTTAATTGCTTTGACCTTTTTTTCTCTTCATTAAAAAAACCAACAACAACAAAAAACAGATGCAGAAAGCCTCCCTGGATACAAATCAAGGCAGATAAGTATGCATGGTGTAACACATACAGCAGAGGAACTCCAGACTGTTCATTGACTACGAGAGCCTGCTGAATTGTGTTTTCAGATTGACTTTCAAGTGCTGAACCTTTTATTTTGAAGGATCTCTAGCCTAAAATTAATATGGTCTCTTAATTTTCGTTTCGTTTTCGTTTTCTTCATTTACTTCTTCTTCGAAGTTGGGGGGGGAGTGTCAATCTGCT